ATCCTAACAGCTATCTTCTCTGACGATAATGGTATAAAATTAGAAATCAACAAGAGAAAAACGGAAATTCTCTAAGTATGTGGAAACAACACACTTCTGAATAACCATTAGGTAAAAAAATAAATCAGAAGAGAAATCAAAAAATATCTCAAACCAAATGAGAATGGAAACACAACATACCAAAACCTACAGGATGCTTCAAAAGCACTTCTGAGAGGGAAGTTTATAGCAATAAAAGCTTGTATTAAGAAATTAGAGAGATCTCAAATAACCTAAATTTATACCTCAAGGCACTACACAAAAGAAACAAATTAAGCCCAAAGTTAGCAGAAGAAAGAAAATAATAAAGATCAGAAGGGAAATAAATGAAATAGAGACCAGAAAAACAACAAAAAAGATCAGTGAAAGAGTTGGCTTATCAAAAAGATAAAACAAAATTGACAAACCTTTAGCTACACTCTGTCTTTTGATTGGAGAATTTAGTTCAGTTACATTTAAAATAAGTATTGATAATATGGAATTATCATTGTCGCTTTAGTGTTTTCTGGTTGTTTTATAACTTTTATAATTCCTTTGTTCTTTTCTTCTCTTGCTCTTCCTTATTTGATGATTTTCTCTAATGCTACACTTTGGTTCTTTTCTCTTTATTTTTGTATATCTATTACAGGATTTTGCTTTGTGGTTACCATGAGGTTTTGCATAAACTACATTTATAATAGTCTATTTTAAGCTGATAATAACTTCAAACACATACGAAAGCTACCTCCATTTTGCTTCTGATGTCGTAATTTGCATCTTTTTATGTTGTGTATCCATTAAAATTATTGTAATTAGCTTTTTAAAATATTTTTGTCTTTTTACCTTCATACAAGAGTTATAAGTGCTTTACCCACTACCATTACAACATTAGACTATTCTAAATTAAACTAGTCAGCCCTCAGTATCCAAAAGGTTTTGCATCCACAGATTCAACTAACTATGGATCAAAAACAATATTTTCAATCTGAAGTTGGGAATCCACAGATGTGGACGGCCAACTGTATGTATTGCTCTACACTATCTTATATAAGGGACTTGAGTGTCCACAGAGCGTCCTGGAACCAATCCCCTGCTGATACTGAGGGATGACAGTATACATTTACCTTTAGCGGTTTTATACTTTCCTGTTTTCAGCTTAGCCCAAGTTGCTAGTTGCCTCTCAAACTTTTGGACTGTCCATGCCTCCTCCTCTATTCTTAGTGGCTCCTAGTAGTTAAGAGTGTGCCAAGACCCATCAGTGTCCCAAAGTCAGCACATAGATGCAGGCCAATTAGAGGCCAGACTCTCAGGTAGAAGCTGGGGAAGTATACAGTTAGGGCCCTCCCAGGGAGAAACTAGGAGATAGGCATTTTTACTTAAACCCTCTGTGCTGGGCCTGGGTGTATATCTGTAGGATAAGGGTGCTCCAACACCTGTTAACTGGCTGTTTGATACAGTCCTGTGGGACTCTTAAATGCAAGACCTGCTGGCTATTAGAGCCAGGTGATCTGGAAGATTGTCCCTTGGGTGACAGCTGCAAAAGCTTGCGCGCAAGCTGTGTGTACAAGCTCCTTCCTGGGAGATACTGGCAACTGGGTTTTATATTGCAACAAAGTGGAGGAGAGAAAGATGCCCGCTGGCTTTCCCAGTCTCTGAGGAAGATCTCATCCAGCTCCTAGTACCAAGTAAGAAGCTTGGCCCTCAGGCAGTAGCTTTTAAAACATACAGATGAACCTCTTTTAGGGGTAGACTGGTAGAGGGACAATTTTGCCTGCTCCCTTTGCACTCACCTCTGCATAGCCATGGCAAGTGCTCAAGAGTCCATTAAGAATTGCTTCGTTGATTGTTATAGCCTTATGGATCTCATGGACGCAAACCCTGCTGACTTTCAAAGCTAGGAATTCTGGGAGCCTGTCTCTATAGGAGTCTTAAAAGTTGGGGCACTAGCTATGGGGTACAAATTCTCACTCCCGAGGTAGAAGCTGGGAGTTGGGGGTTCTCTCCTGGTTTTATGGCACTTATCAGGTGTGAGAGTTTATGGCAAGAGTATGCCTCAGCCTTTTCCTAGCTATTTTGATAACATGTAGGAGATGATCAGCTAGTTTCTGGATCTCTTTCAGAAGGAAATACTCCATATGTAGCTATATATTCACTGTGTCCATGGGAGGAAGAGAGCTGAGGAGCCTCCTATGTCACCATATTGGTTGAGTCTCATCCCCAGTTACTTTTAGTGAACAATGGCCTAATGTGTCTAATTTCCCTCTGCCTTTCTTTTAAGGACATTTAGGATGGTATTTAGGGCCCAACCAGATAGTCCAAGATTATCTCATCAAAAGATCAATCTGTACTTAATCACATTTGCATAGAATTTTTTCCAAATAAAGTATTATTAGGTTTAAGATGACTATAAATGGGATAGTTTTTGAATTCTTAAATCTATTCCATGGATCTATGCCTATTTCTATGTCAGTCCCATACTGTCTTGATTACCGTAGCTTTGTAGTAAGTTTTGAAATTGGGAAGTATGACTTCTTCAACTTGCTTCTTTGCTCCATTGATTTCTAGTTTCCATTAGTGTTGTTGAGAAGTCTAATGACATTCTGTCTTGATTCTGTGTATGTAATTTGTTTTTGTCTTTCAAATCTCTTAGGACCTTGTGTTTTTCCCCACTAATCAGAAATTTCACGATGATTGTGCTGGGCAGCTCTTTATTGGCTCTTTCACTCTAAATATTTGCATTATTCAATTCCAGGAGATTTTCATAAATCTACTGCTTCTACTTTCTGATCTCTATTTCTGGAATAACTTTTATTAGTTTATCCTTCATTTACTTTATTTATCCTTATTGGACAGTGGACCTTCTGGACTGATCCTGTAATATTCTGATCTTTTTTCCCCCTTATTTTCCATCTTTTCATTTTTTACTTTACTTTCTGTAAGATTTCCTCAACTTTCTGTTCTATGTGTTCTATTTATTTTTAATATTTCTGCTCTTATATTTTGCATCTCAAAGAATATATTTTTTCTTTTTGTATAACATCTTATATTTTGTTTTATATGTGCACTGATTTTTCTCATTTTTTTAATGTATGCGGTTTGCTTGCCTGTTTTGTTCCTTCTTTGAGGATAGAGATTTCCACCCTTGACTATACAGTAGTAAGATTTTAACCTAGAGGATTAAAAAACCCCTAAGAGTTCTGTGAAAACAAAGGCTTTTCCACCAAGTCCTACTGATTATAAACCTTTCGATGAGAAGCTAAAATGAATGCTCAGTGATTTCAAACTTTAAATAGCCAATTTGTCACCAGTTGGAGTTCTAATAACATTAAGAAGGCAAAATGAGTAATCTGAGATGAAAACTAATCCACATTATTGTTTTGACATCATTTTTCTTAGAACAGACATTGGGAAGGCATTATTTTTAAAATTATAGAACTGTTTAGCTTCATGCTTAAAAGATAATTACAAAGTTAAATTAAGCCAGCTAAAGATATTAAACAGAAAAGTAAGCATAGAGTACCTCTTAAATTTAAAACTTTACTTGCTTATTCATAAGATTACATTTAAAAAAAAATTTCTTCAAGTTAACTTTATGCAAACCATCTTCCTGAAGCTTACTTGTGAGCAAACCATAAAACCAGAGAAATGGTGGGAAATATATACATAGGCAATAATTTTTTTTTTTTTTTTTTTAGCAATGACTAGTCTGAAGTATAGAGAAGCCACAAACCATATGGACAACTAACTAACGATCCTACGGCAATTATTATCCTTAGTTATAGACCAGAACAGCCCACAGTATTCAGGATACAGCAAAAAGGAGAATCAGATCCAGTCATCAAGAAGACTCGTTTTACATTATTAGTATCTTCCTGACACATAACCCAACAAATTACTTTGAAATAACTTATTATAGAATGGTTTTCACAAAAGTATCCTTGCACTAGTATTTTAAGTTATTGAAGAGCTGCAGACATGTTACACTTCTTTGTAAACATGTACTAGATAGTGTGCTATGCATTAACAATCTTTTTTTTTTCATGTCCCATGGTTACAGAATGCCACCTTAGTCAGTCATCTCATATACACATTCCCCCTCCTGGGGAAAATGAAAAAATGTTAATGAATTAATAAATTCAGTATAATTATTAGATACATAAAGATTATAATACGAATTTCTTAAACCAAATGACTTTTGCACTGTTCCACTATCTAACATTTGAGTAAGAAAAAAATTCATGGGAAGGGGAACATAACTGCTGTCCCTAAAAGGACGGGGGTGGGGTGGAAAAGGAAAGCAGTGAATCAGTAAAAACTGGCCTTCCTGGTCACGATACCAACAACTGGGAAAAACTAATTATAAAAGTATAAATATCTCATTTTAATGAGTTTTATGCATAATCAAAATTGTTACACATTATCTAAAATGCTAAATCAGTTGCAACTTTTACAACAGAAGCACACTATTCCTTTTAAGGCATATTTCATAAATAAAATCTACTGAACATCAACAATGTGCCAAGCACTATACAGATATACAAATAAAACAGTCTCTAGCCTAAAAGTATCAATTCTGTTGTAACAGAGGTGTGTGTGAGTACAGTGAGGCCAAAGAGGGAATATCTAGGCCTGCTTTGAGTCAAGGAAGACTAACGGAGGTAATGATCTCTCAAAAAAGTAAAGGGGAGAGGTGACTTAAAAAGAATGTACTGCTGACATTACAGCATGATCGATCACAAGACAAGGTAAATATTCCGAGCCCAAACAGCAAGACTCAAGAGAGGGCCATGTTCTGTAGTATTGTTTTGTTCTACAAAAAAATTTAAAATAAGGGGGCATAAATACTCTATATACTCTATACTCTATGGAGCAAAACATTCCAAGGTCCAGATTGATTGAATTAAATGAAATTTTAGAACCAGATCCTATACACTGTAGATGGGAAAGAATGAAAAAAGAGTAGGAGCAAAACAGATAATTACCTCCTTTTGTAGTATCATTCTGAGCCTGGATGCCATGATGCAATGAATTATGAATGGCAGAAAGAAGATCTGCTGCTTGAACCATCAATTTTTGAGCTTCTGCAACTGCACTGGTCTAGCAAATAAATCACCAAAAACATTCTTACATATTCTTTCACTGAAAGATATACATTAAATAGGAAAGTCCTATAAACAATAATGAAATTAAATGCTTATTGTAATGACACTGGTTTTCACAAACTATTCACTTAATACAGGATGAACAGATCCTGTTAGGATAGAAATTATTTTTTCACCCATATCTATATTTTGTAGAAGTCATTAAAAACCAATGGGAAACATTTCCAGTTTGTTCTGTTAATCTTTTGTATAAAAAAAAAAAGAGAGAGAGATGCAGCCAACTGAAAAATTTCAACATTTGTCATTCATCAAGGTGAAATTAAAAAAAAAAAAAAAAGAAAAAAACAGTATTACAGAAGTTAGATCAATGATGAAGACTGGATCTTTACTTACCACTTACTAACTATTCACAAATTAATCCGTAATAGAGTTAATACAAATATACACAAAGGAAAAAAATATTCACCATCAAGGGCTTGCTCTTGGGTCTACACAAATCTAACAATTAATTAAAGAAAGAAAATGTCCTAAGAGTCTTATTTTTACTTTCTCCTTTTCAATTCACAAAATATGACTACCCGCAAGCAATTTCACCTTCTTTTATTTTATCCACTAATAAAAAATATTATTTTTATATCAACAACACACCTGCATATATTATGGAGAATATAAAATTCATGTGACTTTGAAAAAATCATCAGGGCTATGTTGATGTAAAGACATCAAATGTTGAGTGCTATATATGTGCGATCAGGCACATTTCAATGGAAAGTTTCAGAACTACTTCAGTAAAGCATTCCACACCAAAAAACCTCCACTAAAATAGAGAGATTATAGTAAATACCCTTACCTCTTTCTTAGTAAAGGCTATAAGCACTGTCAGTAACACTCGAGTAAATTTCACTCTGCTGAATACCGCTAAACACTGTTGGTGCTAAAAAATAAAAAAGAACTCGAAGTTAAAAGATGCGAAGTCTGTCAAAGGAATTTCATTTTCAAGGTATTTGAGTCCTAAATCTCTGTTAATAACTTACTACATTACAAACACCTTCACTTATAGACTTTTAAATGCCTGAAAATGAGCTACAGAAAACATAACAAGCCTATTCTACTAAAATAGAAATATAAAGTAAAGCTTCTATATCACCAGGACTGATTTTTCTCCTAACAAAAACATTACACTATTATCTCAAAACTAATTTAATTATCATTTTTAAAAAGGACTGTTAAAAAAGTACTTTAAACAGAGTCAGAAAATTTTGGATCTCAACGTTGGGCAACTTTTGATACTGTTCAAGTTCTTGAGTTTTGCCAAGCTCTGATGTATCATCTGTAAAAAGCCATTTTTTCTTCCTACCTCACAGGAATACTGGAGATTCAGCTTTGAAATCATGTATTTGAAAGAGGCGTATTATCATTCTATCAAAATAAATACAAGGGAAATAAAATCCCTTGCAATGTCCAATTTTTAAAGAAATACCTTAAAAAGGGCTTCCATAAATTATAACGCAGTTCATAAAACTACAACATTAAGAGGTAGACTTCTCTGATATTATCTACCAGAAAATAAGTTCAATTACTTCTAGTTCAACTTCTGGATCTCTTTCTTCTCCTTGTCGACTTCGAGTACTCTAAAATTTTAAAAAAGGCGAATTAAAACAAACACAAACCTGTTGAAATGTTAGAGTATAACAAGGTGAAGCACTAAATTTATTAAATATATGTAAGAGCTATTTTTAAAAAAAAACATTTGTGAAGGGGAAAAAAGTTGTATTTAGTATTTATATTCCTATTAATAATATATACAGAAAGTCCATTTTTATATAAATTTTTATATAAGGTTTTAAAAACAGCAAAAGCAAAACAGTGAAATAACAAATAGTAGCACACGGAACATGGTCATTTTTTAAAACTAATCTATTAATTGAAATTCCTGATGCTTTCAAAACTAGCCCTGTTAGAAACAAATAGTAACTTTTACAACACCATGTCATAAAAATAAAGTCACATAGTAAATACTAATCTGTTTTGCAGTACACTACAAAACATCTTAATACATGAGTACTAGATGGTTGACTATGGTGAAGTTCCAGGGCAGTAGCACAGGAAGATCTGGTGGACGATTCAAGTTCTAGCCCTGGAGCTGCCACTTACTAGTGGCATGTCCTTCAGTAAGACTCATACAGGTTACTAAAGTCCTTTAAGCTGTCTTTTCCTCATGTAAAAGTGGGGCATTGTGTGCACTGTATTGCCTAATTCCATGAATAATTGTAAATATCAAATAAGACAATAATGTAAAAGTGCTCTGACAATCATGCTGTGCTATATGTTTTTTAAAAACAGTGGAAATATTAACTTTCTCTCTTGTGTAATCTCCATGAGAACCAAATCGTCAGGGTCATCTGGCTGAAGGAAGTCATTCATAGAAGGCTTTCACAGATTTGGGATACCGCTATTAACTAAGCTCTTCTACTGTGTTGTAGACATAGTACTAGTTATTAAAGACGCCAGGTGAAGAAGATAGTCCTTACCTTTGTGTAGCTTAAAACTTTACATATTATGCTACTCTTAAAATAGCATATGAAAATTCTAAAACAATGGCCAAAAATTAAAAAATTAACTGTAAATTTTGAATACTGAAAGTGACTTTAACTTATCAGAAACTCCTCTAGCAATCTTCAAAGTCATTACTAAAAAGGCACAGCATATATAAAGTTGATGGACCTACCAACATTAGCTATTTGTAATTAGCTAAAGTTAACCCAACACATAGAAAACAAAAACTCTTTACCAAAGAAAAGGGAAAATATATACCTTTACTCTTCTTTGCATGTCATCTTCCACATCTTTTAACATGCCTAGAAAGAGAGACGATGAGGTTAAAAGAAAACAAATCCAAACATTAAACTTGTGAGTTATCTTTATAAATGGTTTACCTGTAACTCGAAGATCAGTCACACTGTTTGCCATTTTAAATCCATAAGTCATTGACTGAAAATCTTCCTATACAGAAAAAGAATAATTAGGCCCTTAAGTAGTGGCAAAACCTTTCATAACATTTCTCTTACAAAATCATTATTTGCTAATAAGAAAACAGTAATGGAAGGTCATTACCTTGTTGGTGTACTCTTAAAACACTGTATTCTAATTTCAACTGCTTGTCCTGAGGTGACTTAAATATACTTGCATTGAATATGTTCACTTGCAAAATAAAGCTAATGCTTATGACATTACCACATGGTAATAATTCCCACTTACGCATGGATTCCCACTCCCCAAAATCATTTAAAACCCTGCTGAGACATTAACAAATTAAGTGACTTGTTGACTCACTTGAAGACTATGCATCTAATATCATCTGGTTGGTCTGATTAAGGAATCAGAAGCTCTACTAGAGTGTTTCCGTCATCACAATTCTCACAAAAATGTACATAAAAGCCTAATATAATGGAATAAAAGGTATTTTCAGCAATGATAGAAACTAGCAAAATTTCTGAATTCTTAAGAAAAATATCAGCGACTATGCAATTCATGCCAGGTACTAGTATCTTACAAAAAGAAAGAAAAACAAACAAACATTATGTCTCTGGTTTCAAAAAACTCAATGGTATTACATGACTCAGAGGATTGGGAAATCTTAGGTTGGGTTACAGAGCTATAAGCTTATCTTTTAGGTAATATACCCTATCTCTACTTGAACTTCAAATAGGATTCTCAAATTTTACATGCCTGAAAAAAGGAAATCTCTGAGTGTTTATCACGCTTATAAATGACACCTCCATCTATCCAGTTACTCAAGCTGAAAACCTGCACTGCAAGCCCTCTCATTTTCCCACAGCCCCTATCAAATCCATCAAAAAACCCTGTAGGCTCTCTCTTCCATTTCTAATCTAATCATATCTCGCTCCTTTCACAGCTGTCTCTAGTTCAAGTCATCATCATCTCTCACTTCTATACCGTCTCTAGACAGGTCCCCCACTAAATTATAGGTGGCTACCAATGTCAAAGAGGTTGTTTTAAAATAAGTCATTTCACATTACTTCCTACTCAAAACCTACTTTCCTTCCTCACAGTAAAAATCCAAAATCCCACCATGGCTTCTAAAGCCCTCCAGCATGTGGCTCTGGTCTCTCTCTCCAACCTCATTTCCTACCTGCCACTCTTTTCCATGTTCACTGCACTGCAGTCACACAGGCCTTCTTGTAGCCTTTGAATACATCAAACATTCTCTTCTCAGTACCTCTGTACTGGCTGACCCCCTACCCAAAATGATTTTCTTCAAAAGATTTACAAAGCTCCACTCTGTTCCAATATCAATTCCTCATATAGAGGTTTCCTCTGTGCATTCTCTCTAAAATAGCACCCTCCAACACTTTCTATCCCCTCCCATTTTACTTTTCTTCATAGAACTTATCATCACCTCACATTATATATGTATTTGTTTACTTACACATTGACTATTTGTCCCAAAGAATGCGTAATCCATGAGATCAGGGCTTTGCTTTATTCACTACTTTTTCTCCAGAGCTTAGAACAGTGCTTTGCACAAAGTACTGTTCACAATATACTTGCTGAAGAAATAATGACTTACTGTAAGGCAGGGGCCATAAATGTAAACAGCTGGTAACCTTCCTAAGTACATCAGGCTGGTTACAAAATACCTTGGGGAGTGGGAGACACTGTGACAAACTGAAGAACATATACTTCATCTAAAGAAGTCAGCTACTACTTACCTAATTTTGGCCATGAATGAATGCAGGAATAATACCTCACCTAAAGAAGTCAGCTACTACTTACCTAACTTTGGCCATGAATGAATGCAGGAATAATACTTCATCTAAAGAAGTCAGCTACTACTTACCCAATTTTGGCCATGAATGAATGCAGGAATAATGTGGCAAGGTCTAATTTTTCAGAACAAAACTTAATTTAACATAAAATTCTCCAATTTCTAAATGTTACCAATTTTTTAAAAAATTAAGTAGGCCAACACTGGGAAGACACCTATGAGCCCTACCGGTGAACTGTGTTTTCAAGAGGGGTCTAAGGGAAAACACTTATCTGGGAGAATATCACAGGTCTGTGTAATAAATACAAGCCTCAGTAACAAGAACTTAATCTAAGCCATCGGAGGACTGAAGCAAGCAGAGGAGTTACGTAAACAGATGCTACCATGAAAGATCACTCTTGAAACTTTGTAGACTTAAAGAAGACAAAAATCAAAGTGAAAACAGATACTGGATACCATCCAATAGTCCCAGCAGGAGCTTATAGTGACTTAGATCGACATTATAATTAAAAGTGAGAAGATATTGAAATCAGGATATTTAAAAGGTAAAGCCAACAGGATGTGCTAAGGAACAGAATATGGGGGTATGAAGTAAACTGTACAATCAAGGATCATTTTTCAGTCTGAGCAACTGGTAAATGATGGTATCATTTACTGAGATGGGCCAGACTTTGGGAGGAGCAAGATTAAAGGCAGAGATGAAGTTCAATTTTGGCTATATAAAGTTTGCAATTTCTTTTGTCATCCAAATGAAGATTTCAGGAAGGCACTTGCTTGAGTCTGGAAGTCAGGGGAGGAATCAGAACTAGAGATATAAATTTGGGCTTCATCAGAGTATTAAAAGACACCAAACCAGAGGAAATCAACTGAAGGAGAAGGTATAGAGAAGGGAGAAAGCCCAGGAGTACTCTAGTATCTAGAGAAACAAGCACAGGAAATGGGACTAACCAGTAAGGAAGAAAGAAATCCAAGAGACTGCTGTATCAGGAAGACAAGTTGAAGAAAGTATGTCAAAGAGTGATCTTCTGGGTCAACTTATGTTGATAGGTTGAAGAGGGAGGGGTGAAAACAATGGATCTAGTAAGATGGATATCATTGATGACCTTGTTAAGACCAGTTTCTGTGTAGTAGCAGAAAAGAATGTCCAGTTGGAAAATATCCAAGTAGGTGAGAAGAGACAGAAAGACAAAGTAAAATAAGTAAACATTAACAGCTTATTTTTGTGTAGAATAGAAGAGAAATGAGACTGTAAATACAAAGAAATGAGACTGTAAATTCAAGGAAAGCTACTGTTTTCTTTAAATTGATACTAAAGCATGTTTTTATGCCAATAAAAATAATCTAGCCATGAAGGAGACACTAGTAATGCAATACAAAAACAGGATTCATAACTACAGCAGGCAAGAGGGAACAGAATCTAGAACACAAGTGGAGGGGCTGAGCTTAGACTATCACAGGAATACTTTCACTTTAACAAGACAGAAGGCAGAGCACATAGGTACTAACACAGGCTAGCATTTGTGACAGTGAGAAGATGTGGTACTTCTAATTACATCTGATTCCATCTAACATTTCATTAAGGTACAAAGCAAGTTGATAGAAGGGCTGCCACTGAGGTTTGAGAAGTAAAAAAAAAGTCACCTTAGAGACTGAAAAAGCAAATTCACTACAGAAGTGTTATAGAATAAGACTGTCTCTAGTGTTGAGTGCCCATCTTAGATTTGCAGTCCTAAAATTAAAGTGAGAACAGACACACAGATGTGGGTTTTCTCTAGCAGCCTTCTGCTGTTTGGGTGCAAGTAGTGAGCAGACAGATGGTTGGGGTTTTGCCAGATGAGATTCATCATGATGGAATGAGAGGGGCAAGGGAGTTAAGAGTGTCTGAAAAAGAGTGATTTCAGTACAGAATCAGAGAAACGAGGACACAAAAATAGCAGAGAAAAATAAAGCAGCAACTTGTATAAACTGGAGGTCTCCAGGGAACTTGAAGAAGAGTGGGAGTAGGGGAATCAGAGTTAATAAACAAGAAAGTAAGTGGTAGCGATCAAAGGGGAGTATGCTTGAAATCAAGATTTTGGAGGTGAGTTGATTACTAGGGAAAATATTTTCTTCATTTATTCACTCATTCCTAAACCATTTTCTGAGTACCCGATGGTGGCTGGTATGGGCTAGATAACCAGAGATACAATGGTAAAATACAATCGCTGCCATTATAGAGTCTATTATCCAGTGAGAGAAGTAAAATATCTTGGCAGGTAAAGCTCATGTTCTTTATTGTCTTTATGATGTTTTTACAATACTGCCAAGATATAATTGCAGAAAGTTTTCAGAGATATTTAGAGTTCTATAAAACATAGTATTTAAAACAATGCAACCTTAGAAGGAAATTTAGAATGGTAAAATATTTACAATCTTTACTGTGTAACAGAATATCCAATACCAGTATTGAATGTGATTCTACCAGAGCAGTAATCTTGATTGTTCTAATAATGTAATATTCTAATAAATTTTTTCAACCTCTTCTAAAACTTAATTGCAAAAGTGGTTGCAGTACATTATTACTTTAAAAATTCATTTTACAGATAGAATACTTTGCATAAAGATTTCAAAAGCTCCTGAAATGATTCGCTCAACCAAAATCCAAGTACCATCTACAGACAAAACACTGGGTAACATACTTAGGGTACGGGGTAAAATACACATATAGATAATTCAGATTAAGACCTAAAACAATTTAAATGTCCATTAGTAAGTGGCTTGTAACTTACCATAGATAAAATACTACTAATAACAATAGCTAACATTTATTAAATGTTTACCATGTGCCAAGCACTGTTCTAAACATTTTACTTCTATTAACTTCGTTAACCTTTGAATGCTTTGAAGTGGGTACTATTATCAATTATGTTTTATAAGTGAGGAAACTGAGGCATAAAAAGTTAAATTCTCAAAAAGTAGAAAGCTAGTGACAGAACACAAACTTAGGTGGCCTTAATTCGTAGAGGTTGTATTTTCTTAAGTTTTATTTTCCAAAAATTTCAGATTACAAAGATAGTAAAAAGAAGTCCCATATTCCCTTTGCCAGATTTCCCAAACAACATTTTATATTTCCATTATTATTCTCTATATTTTTTTTGGAAACATTTGAGAATAAGTTGCTGACCTTGATGCCTCTTTTACCTCTAAACACTTCAATGTGATTTCCTAAAAATAAAAATCATTCTCTTATAAAACCACAGTATAATTAACAAATCAGGAAATTCATGTCTCATTAATCTAGAGCACGTCTTCTGTCCTTGCCTCTCATGCCCTGACATTTTAGAAAAGTACAACCGGCCAAAGTTATTTTGTGTACTAGTTTAGCAACCTTTGATAATTCTTGCTGGAACTAATTATTCAAAACCTGTACTGTTAACATGATGCTATGCCGCCAATAAAAACAATGAGGTGGATCTACCTGTATGTATCAGTATGTACAGAAATCTATTTTCTATTGTCCATAGGAAAAAAAAATCAGCGGTCCTGAACCCCTGGGACACAGACTGGTACCACACAGCAAGAGGTAAGCAGCAGAACAGCAAGCGAAGCTTCATCTGTTTGCAGCTGCTCCCCAGAGCTAGCATCACCACCTCAGCTGCACCTCAGATCATCAGCATTAGATTCTCATAGGAGCACCAGTCCCTGGTGCCAAAAAGGCTGGGGACTGCTGGTTTATATAATTCCACCATGTTAAATAAAATATACATTATGTATTGTGTACATAATGTATATGTATACATAAAGAATAGGTATTATAAAAAATACTTAGAATGGTACACAGCAAATGGAAAAGTGTTTACCCTCTACCAGGCCAACCAGAACTGTTTCAATTAGTTTATTTATTTTTGTATTAGAAATGTTTGGTTGCAAACAGCTCCAGTGACTTAAGTGACAGAGACTTATACCATGCCAAATAACATGAACATTAGAATATATGTAACTTTTTTTCAGCTCCATCACCCTAAGCTTGGATTGTCCTCAATTTTCATGTTTGTCACTTAATGTTTACAAGATGAAGCAGTATCTTTAAACATCACATCCATGTTCAAGGATAATGATAGGAGAAGGGGTGGACCATACTATTATTATTCAAATTGGATACTATTGAGAGAAGAAGAGGATGCTATTAATAATCACACCAGGACAAAAGGTACCAAGGAGAACTGTTCCATGCAAATCAGTATGTACAGACACCAACTGTAACAGAAGAATGTGCTAAGGGCGGGCAGAGAAGAAAAGTGAAGTCTGTCTAGGCAAGTCAAGAGAGTATGATCCAAGTTTAAAGATAAGTAAGACTTTGCCATAAAAAGGTAAGTAAAAGAGAAAAGGCATAAGAGCCACAAGGAACATCCTGTGCACAAGCATGAGAGGATGAAAGAGAATCACACACTCAGGATCAGCTAAAAAAATAATATGCCAGAAGGAGAAAAACAAAAATTTGTAGGAGAAAGAAAATGTAAGCGCACACTACTTTGGCTCATTTGTCATTAATATTTATATAATCACAATAATGTCAGCAATGAATAATGATTTAACCAAAAACTGAATTACTATTTGGGGTAAGGGAGGGGATAATATATAAATGCTAAATACATGCTAAAGGTGTGCTGATAACTGAAAACTGTTAAATCCTTAAATCCAGAAATCAGAATATAAGCCTAGTATCCAGAAATATGAAAGGAAATAGTAGGAAAAAAACCAAAAGAATTAAATATTATTATGGAATGGATAAGGAAAGAGAATTATAATTTTTCATTATAAGTCTTATGAACTATTTGATTTTTATACTATGTAAAAGTATTATTACTTTTATTAAAACACATACCCCAGGGAAAATGTTCAAATAGCAAAATCGAATGTGACCAGATAACCTATTTTTAAGAAGGTAACTGGTGTCAAGTGGGGAATGGACTAGAGGTAAAGCCTGGGCCAGAAAGAAGAGTTCTGCCTAAACCTAAAACTGACGAAGGCAGGAACTAAAGCAGGAAAAATGAGAGAAGAAAAAACACTGCCCAGATTCAAGGTATTTGCAAGGTAAAAATAAAAGAACCTGGATGCAGGAGTCTTTAAAAACAAAAGGTCATCAAAGGAAACACTCTAGATACGATTTTGCAAGATACAGAATGCAAGAGGAAAAGTGGTTTGATGGGGGAATTGTGTTTCCCATTTTGCATGTGTGAGCAGATATTAAGAAATTAAGAAACATCTTTAGGTAGCTGAAAGTGTATCTAGTTCAGGAGTTAAAACAAAGCAGACATATATATGAGAACAAAATATATTAGCACTTAGGAACTTCAGAAGCATCCATTTCAAACAAAGAAATGATTTATTATAAGTCATTCTCATTTATTCATTACTAGATCTCTTAAGGATTTTTACTAGGTAATCAAAAATTTTTTCTAATTATAAATCTGAGACAAACTTATCTGGAAAATTGGAGAAGTTTAGAGGGAAACAATGACTATTCATATGATAAATCCACACAGCATATGAGGAGTGCCTGTTTTCTCATTCTCCTCAACATGATATTATAAAAAATTTCTAACCTTTGTCAATGATGGATAAAAAATGGTGTCTTACACTTTTAAGTTGCATTTCTCTTAAGGCTAAGCATCTTATGTTTGAAAGCCATTTTATTTTCAGTGAACTGTCTTCTGATTTTTAAAAAAACATTTTATATTTAAAATTTTTCACCTTTTGGGAATTTATTTTTATGTTATAAACAATGTTTGTGTCCGCCCAAAATTCATATGTTAAGTCCTAAAGCCCAATGTGATAGTATTTGTATGTGGGGTTTGGGGAGGTGATTGATTGAGTCATAAAGGCAGAGATCTCTGCTTTTAAAAGGGACCCCTGAGAGTTCTCTTCCCACTTCTGCCAAGTGTGGACACAGTACAAAGATGGCCGTCTATGAAGCAGGAAGCGGGCCCTCACCAGACACTGAAGCACCAGTGCCTTGATCTTGGGTGACTTAGCCTCCAGAACACTGAGAAATAAATTTCTGTTGTTTATAAGCCAATTAGTATATGGTATTCTGTTATAGCAACCCAAAGGGACTAAAGCAGATGTAAAACGATAAGTTAATTTTCAAGGATGCTAATCAATTGTTCCAGTACTATTGTTAAATGAATTTTTTCTCTGCCTGATTTTTGATGTCTTTTGGGTGTACTTTGAGAATCTAAGTATCTAAAGTAATTTGTTTCTCTTAACTTAAACTATTAACTTATTAACTTAAACTAATCTTTTAAAAAATTCTACCCAATGGATTAGATTTTCCATGACATCTATATCAATTCAAATATGCAGCTAAATAACCAACAAGTGTATATAAGTAAACAGTTTTTCATAAACAACTCACAAGCCATACATTTAAATGTGGAAAATCATGTTAGGTATTTATTATTATCGGATACGTAACATTAATTTAGAAAAACTTTACATACTTATATACTGGACCACTGTAGGAGCTTAAGATATCTACTTTGGATCAACACCAATGTTAACAAAAAATCAGTTTCAACAAAGGAAAGAATTAAATAATCACTTATCTGTATCTGAAACTTTATTTTCTATAAGAAGAAAAAATCTTTATGTCTAAAGTTCACAACACTTCCTTAAGGTGAGGTGCTTAGTATTAACTGGAAAAAAATGTTTATACCCTAACTATTCTTCATACCTTTGTTTTCCTTAGCTCTCTCTTATCCAAAGACTGAAAGTAAAGCACTCTGTGCTTTATAAGAGACTTGAAGGCAGAGGCTGGCACTTATTTTCTTTGTGTAGCCCTACAATATCCAGAACAAAGTACTCTGCACATAATGGATACCTAATGAATAATACTGACAGAAAGAACATACACTAAGATGAAGGTTCTTTCTTGAAGAGAACTAGATTACTTTAGCCAATGTATTTGTAAATAGCAATAGCATGTTTTAAAAACTGTTTTTAACTATATATGTTACAAAAATATGTACCATCACAGTGAATAATTAGGCGGCCAATGAGCTTCAAGAATTCTTATATTACAAAATCTTACCTCTTCAAAAACAGCAGCTTTATTTACTTTTTCCCTTGCTATGTCACAGATTTTCAAGATACCCAGAGCAAAAGCTTTCATGGCAGGATCTTCTATAAAGTCTGGGTTATGAATGTAAAGGCATGTAAATACTGTCTGTGCCAAAGAGTGGCCTTCTAACCATGTTATCTAGAAAAGAAATAAAAGAATGTATATGTTTAAGGTGACAGAGAGTCTGCAAAGTCTCAACTGATCCAACAGTCAAAACCAGAGTGCCACAGACCCAAATAAATATAATAGTAAGCATAAGATTTAAAAAGTGATTAAAGGAAAGGTCAGGAAAGACAAAATTAGAATTCACTTTCATTGACAAAAGTCTTTCAAGAATCATATACCTTAAATAAGATTAGCTGAAAGATATAAATATGGGAAGCATTCATATACATAATTCAGTTTATAATATATTTGGAGACTAATGAAATTAGAGTACCTCCTTATATAGCATCCAAAAGGAATCAATTCTACATGTGGTCAAAAAAAATCCATCAACTACGGAATTTACAATTTCAGAACTAACTAGACATCCCAGCCATTCATTCAACTCTATTTTTTATCTTCACTACCACCAACCCAGTGAAGAGCAACACATCTCACTTAGATTACTGCAAGAAACTATACAATGATTTTATCGCCTCCCATCTTTAATACTCTCAACCAGAGGAATCTTGCTAAAACATGAAAATAATCATTCAACACTATTTTATTGAGTAGCTACAACAGGCCAGGTACCATGTGCTAAAACCTGAGAATATCTATAGCAGCCAAAATTGAGTAATTATGTCCCAAGTGCTATGCTAAGTATTTTCACATATCTTATCTCATTTTTCCTAACACCTCGAGGAGAGAGGTATCTTTCAACTTTTACATATTAAAAAAAAAAAAAAGAAAAATCTGAGGGTGCAAATAATTTTGCCCAAATTTATATAGTTACATTTTATACTAAGTCCAAGAATTCTGCAATAGAGCAAGAATTACAAAATGAGAAATGCACATAAAAATTACTACAATTAAGGTATGTGTTTTGTATAACCAGCGTGCAGAAGACTTTCTAGACTAAAAACTATGTGTCTATTAAAGGCCAAATTCTCAGATACAATCTCTAGAGTCTCATACAATGGTTCTTCAGCTTTGGCAAAAATCCTCCCTCTAGCCTCTGTTTGTCCTATTCTACTAGGACTGTAAACTGCTAAAGTGTAATAACAATATCTTTGAAACTTTGGAGGAAGAAGGATCAGGATTAGGATTCTGGCTATGCCCGTTCCTAGCAATGTAATCCTAGACAAATGATAAGATACCATATATCGAATAGAGCTGATTTAAGAACTAAATGAAAAATATACACGTAAAATCCCTAATAGAGTACTTCAAATATACTAGCAATCAATGCTTACTAAATGATTAAATGAATAAATTTTACATATTTTTAAGGACAATGATTTAAAAGTTTAAAAAGAAAGGGGCAGTCAGGAAAAAAGCAAAAAAGAAAAAAAAGGCAATACAAATGAGTATTTTCCCTCAATTAACCAACACTGCATACGGAAGACAACCTATCTACCGCACAGAAAGCACTAAAAAGTTTTCTTCATTTTCAAAAAGATGGCCAGTTTACTACAATCTACCCTAGATTAAGAAAAATATCTCTCCAAAGGCAATCCAAAATTCTTTGTTTCAATTCTATGCTTATTTATGGAAACTTCCAATTACAGATTTGTTTCCCTGGTATCTTGAGAATGAAGTGGGAACTGAGAGTGATGGCCATATTATTATCTTCACTAGGAAGAAAATAACCCCCTTACCCAGAAAATGAGAACCTACAATCACCCAGATGAGAAGATATAACGCTGTTTCCTATAGCATAACTTGGCCCACTAATTTTACTAGGCTAAGCATTATATATGTATCATACTCAACATTGGAGTGTATACTTTTAAATTTAAAAATTCACATATAAGTCATAATTTTTAAATTAACCAACAGTGTTATTTTAACTCTTACCAAACAGCAAAAACATGTATCCATTATCCCTATCAATTCAGGCAAAGTGAGGTCTTTAATTTTAATGGTGCCATCCTAAAAAGAAGGGGAAATATGACATATAAGCAAAAGTTTTAAAAAATTTATGTAGAGTAGCATTTTGCAAATGTTATAGTGAACCTATCTACAGTAGAATTTTGGCTTTCAAAAATTAAATATTTAAAAACAGCAATTCCAGGAAATCTCTATCTCGTCATCTGATAAAACTAAGATGCCAAATTAAATCTGTATTCTTAAAAATAGTGTATCTTAAGAAAAAATCAAAGCCTCTCATTTGAACAGAATAAAGGCTTTTATAAAGAAATGAAAAGCCAAACCAACAGGTATTTTAAAAGCACAGTGTGAATTAGTTTTAAGAATGAATATGAATCATTTTAAAGAACAGAAATTTACAAAGAATAAAATAAACATTTAAAAAAAATACTTCCCTTGAGTAACTATACTACTTGTAAATTTTGTTTACAATATCCATTTACTTAGCAAATCTTTCTTCATAAAATAGGCAAAATTAAACTCTGGCAACTTTCAATGAATTTCTAAATCAATTCTCAATGAGCAAATTTCAAATTCGCTACTACAAGCATACTTAATATATTAATACATAAAATTTAATCCCTAAGCCAATTATACTGGTATCTGAATATATCTAATTTCCCTGGTATTTGAATACATACTTAAATGTTTTCAAAATCCAATTTTAAAAATGTACACACACACACAAATTTAGAGCAACCTTTTCATGAAGACCTAATATAATAAATTTTCAGATTTCAATAGAAAGAGATATGTAAAGGTTATAACTAATTCTTGTTTATATACCTGAGATACTTTTAGAAAATAACTAAACTTTATTTTTTTATTTCTTTTTTAGGTGAGGCAACTCTTGGTTGACCTCACAGATTGCAAAGACCTTGTCAGCTTACAATCCCTTATTTATTTTTTACGCCTAAAGCACCTAGTCTTTCTAGGTGGTCTCCCATCCAAGTACTAACCAGGCCCAACCCTGGTTAGCTTCCGAGATCAGACGGGATTGGGCTTGTTCAGGATGGCATGGCCATAGACAGAAAATAACTAAACTTTAAGTTAATGTATTAAGTTTGATTTCCATTATTAATCAGAATGTTATAATATAAATAACAAATGATAAAAGAAAACACAAAAAGCACAATGCTGACTACCTTGATAGCTTGTTCAAAATTGAGAACTTTTCGATTAACTTGATTTCCAATCATGCCAGCATCCATCTTGGGATCCATCATTTCAATGGCAGACATGGCTTCAAAAAGACCAAACCTGCAAATAAAAAAATGGACCTCACAAATTGTTTCTGAATTAGTCAGCTTATCCAGATTCCCACAATGGTATAAAATCATATTTCAAATAACTACAGTATTCTCTGTAAGTCCTTCCAACTTGCTAACACTTCTACTTCAATTAAATAACTTTCTTTTAACTTAACAATTTTTCCATGTACTTGTGACTGAAATTATTTTACATGCATTGTGGAAAACAAAAGATTTTGGTGCTACCTTCAACAAGGTTGTGTGTTAGAAATTTTTGGACAAAGGGGATTAACTGATCTATAATAGATTGTACTTTGCCGTCTTTAAGTTTCTCTATTTAATATTCAGAAAGTCATGCTCAGAATAATCATTATCAAATGTAACTTTTAGATTTTTTCATTTTCTTTATATTGTGAAAATCCAACAATCTACCACATTACACTCTACAATGCCCAAAGTTTTGGCAAGTACATGATGGAAAGTAATGCAGAAATCCTGATGGTCTGGTATTTGTGGCTTATTAGCCATAAAAGCAGATAGTTGCGACACAGTGGACAGATTAAGTGTACCATTAACTGAGATATGCCTCAAGAAATGAGAGAGGAAGAAGAAAAGCCTAAAAGTAAGTTTGTAGGTAGCTATTTAATTCATTCAACAAATACTTACTGAGTGCCTACTATATGCTAGGTACTTGGGATACATGAGTAAGCAAAACAAATTTGCCTGCTTCATGAAGCTTATGTTCTAGTGGAAGGAAAGAGACAATAAGCCATAAGGGTAAGTAAGTTACACAGTATGTCAGAAGACTGTACATGCCAGGGAGAAAAGATAGCTAAAGAAGATATGAATTGGAAAGATAGAACTTTAATAGATGGTCAGGGTAGGCTGCTATTCTCTGGGCTGAAACTAAAACCTTGGGGAAATAAAAGAGGGCTAGGTCTTTTTAACTGTGCTCTCTCATAGCTTTCCTGCATTAGCTTGTGATTTCATTATATCCTTCCTAAAAATGCCTCGGCATCAAAAGGATGGTTCTGAAAGTGTGATACCTGGATCAGCAGCATCAATCTCACTTGGGAACTTGTTAAAAATGCAACTTCTGAGGTCTCACATCAGACCTACTAAATAAGGGGTTAGGCCTAGCAATCTGCATTTTAAAAAATCCTTCAGATGATTCTGATGCACACTAAAGTTTGAGAAGAACTAAATTTCAGGTTCTACTCCCCCACCCCAAATGTCCAATCCTGTCTGCTAATTTAAAATTTCATATTCCTAACCCTGAAAACTGAGCCTGAGTATAGCAGTATGGGAACTGAAGCTATCAATGGGAGTAAAAATATAATTAAGCACTTCCCTTTATTTTATCTTCCCAGGGATTCTCAATCTACTTTAACCCAGGTGCTTAGTCACCTATCTCTGGTCATCAACCAGCCTATCACATATGACATACTACAGATATCTTTTCTTTAAGAATTCCACATCCTGTATATTTACCCTCAAGGAAAGGACCATAAGTCACAAACAAACATTTCATATCACAACTAGGGTCACTGGCCCCAAAACTGCTCACCAAGGTTAAAAATATATTTATAAGTACTATTATTTTTTACAGCTTTGAAAGGTGAAATAATCAGACTTCAAGCAACACTACTGCACATGAGAAAAAACAGATGGAAATATCACACCACACTATTTCAAAGGACAGAAATACTTACAGCTTATCATGAAGCAGTTCTCCCAACTTTAATTCTAAAAGAAACAAAGAGAAAAATCCTTTGAACAATACAATATCTGCATTTAATTTTTAATGTTAAGAAAAAATGAAACAAAATATTAGCACCTGAAAAATATGCTTGCATTCCTTCTAACTTCATTTTTTAAGAAACGGTTATATTATTTCTACTCAATTTCTAATATAATACCTTCTACTGCCGGTCCCCAACCTTTTTGGCACCAGGAACTGGAGCTCCCGAGAAGCTAGTGCCTGATGATCTGAGGTGGAGCTGCGGCGGTGATGCTAGTGCTGGGAACGGGCTGCAAATACAGATGAAGCTTCAAGGCTCAGCTCACCTCCTGCTGTGTGGCCCACTTCCTAACAAGCCACGGACCAGTACCAGTCTGCAGCCCAAGGGTTGTGGACCCCTGTTCTACACAGTGAATATTTAGATACTAACCACATATTGAACTTTTGAGAATTAACAAGTGGCCCATCATGGGCCACATGATCCAATCAGAATTACCAACTTCATTTAAATAAAAAAAAAAAAATCACTAGTAAATTTTCCTCTAAATAAACTTTTCCATAGAATTGATTGCTACTTCTCAAGCTGTTTGTAAACCACTTGGTGTCATAATCTAATCTTTTTGTTCCAGATACAGTATCAAAACTATTTTTTTAAATTATATTTTATTTCGATAATATATAAAACATGCGTAAACAGCTAATCAAAGCAGTGTTCACCTCCTACAAAGCAGTTCTCAACCTTGGCTGCATATTAATATTAACTGGGAAACTTAAAATTTTCAAAGTCGAAGCAGCATCCCAAATCAACTAAATTCTAAGGCGTGGGATCTATGCAAAGGTTTTAAAGCAGTCCAGGTAATTTCAATATGAAGATAAGGTGAAAAGCACTACTTTAACATTTCAAGTAGCTTAGACATTAATGGTCAAATCCTGTGGAAGGTATAAAAAGCAGTTTCCAGAACTTTACCCATCATCCTAGCTAATCATAAGTTAAATAACAATCATTTTTAACAGTTCCATGTACCAAAACAGATAAATCAATGAGAAGAATAGGTCAAAATACTACATTAAAGCATAACAGAATATACTGCAATTCTCAAAGATGGTTTGGGAACCCCGGAGTCTGAGACTTTAAAATTATGTTTGTAGTAAGACTAAAACATTCTTTGTCTTTTTCATTGTGTTGACATTTGCACTGATAATGCAAAAGCAATAATGTAAAGAGGAAAAACCTGCTGTAGCTTCAGCACAAATCAAGACAGTGGCCTCATGCTAAATAGTATATTCTTCAACTCCACACATTTGCAGTTAAAAAAGACAAAAATATTTTTAAAATTTCACCTAAGAAGTCCTTGATGAATGTAAAAATTATTAATCTCAGAGGCAGCACTAGGGTGAGCAACTGAGGAATCCACAGTACAAAATTTAAGGAGGCACTTGCTTTCAGATAGTGTTTCTTTAAATTTTGTACTCTAGGTGCCTTATTTGTTTCACCTTAGTGCTGGCTCTGATTTATCTTATTAAATCTCAATCTTTGAGTATATGTCTTTTTAATATTCTATTTGACAAATGGGAAGTATACATTAACTTCCACTGCATACCAGAGTAAGAGGCTGTCCTGAGGAAAAGCTTTTGCACAATTATCACCATTTTTACTTGAAAGAACAACTGACAAACTATAGTTACTTATACTAGAGAATATGGCATTTTCTTAAACATAAATGTTTGTCGCTTTAAGGAAAAAAAAACTGACAACGTTGCCAATGATAAAATTTGAGGTTTCAAGAAAAAACTGAGATTTTGGAAAACATGTATCTGCCAACTGTGAGCCTGACAGCTTTCTAATACTTATATTTTGCAACTGGCAACACGTTATAAAATTAGGCATTGATAAAAGATCCATTCAAAGTTTAAGATAGACCAATGTAACAGAGCATGAAAAGTCCACTGATATGGCTTCCAACTCCACATTATAACTAATCTTTAAGAAATTGCATGTAAAGTTTTAGTGTAGTATCAAAGAATATTCTTAATTATCTGAAAAGTTTCATCCACTTTTCAACTACATATTTACTGAGGTCAGAATTACTTCATATACTTCAACCAAAATAACATGCAGGAACAGACTGAATACAGAAGCAGACGTGGAATTCAGGTGCCCTATACTATGTCAACATTAAAGAGATTTTCAAAAATATAAAACAACTCCACTAAGTTCTAAGGTTTTTTTTTTTTAAATATATTTTTCATTGTAAAAATGTTAACATGCAATGAGTTTATTAACATTTTCAAGTGAATAAGTGTTTTTTAAATTTGTTTTAAATTCTAATATAGTGAACATATGTATTACACAAACAATAATGAAGAGTGTGATTTTTAACATAATGGGGTCCTGAGACCAAAAAATTCTGAGAACTGCTGTAATAATTTATCATATTCTCAGGATAGATTTGGGTACCAAAGAGCTACACCAAACTTAAAAATAAAAACACTCCACAGACCTAGAAATCTTGGTTTCCTCATCTATAAAATGAAGGGTTGAACTAGATGACTCTTCTTCGGTCCCTTAGTTATCAGATCATTCACTAGTTTACTATAAGCAGTAAACTTTAAAATTTACTCACTAAGCAGAGTACCAGTACTCTCACTGCATAATCAATAACTGGATATAGAATCATGATCTTGTATAGATAGCACTACAGACATAAGTTACTTGGGTCTTATCCAAGTGGGCAGCAGTTTTCAAAAAAATTTAGTGAGAAGGATGTTTTATATTTATCATTAGCAGTCAGAGCAATGACATCATCACACATCATGCAATATTGAAAATTCCACTGTACACTAACAAAAGAATGAGTCAAAATAAGTTTATGTCTTATTACCATGAAAACAGTTTTGACCTAGCACACCCCATGAAAGTCTTGGGGATCCCAGGGATCACAGACCACACCAAACCACTGAACTAAATTAAAACAATAATTTTGAATAAAGTTACTTCTACTTTTATGTAAATTTCTAAGTAGGTACAATAGTATATAGCTTAAACCACTCAGAGCAAAGGAAAAAATTATATATACAAGAAAAAGTTGACTCATAATTTTTTTAAAAATCTTGACAATAAACCACCTTTTTATTTTATCCTCTAATAATATAAGCTGTGGATAGATACGCTGTGAGAGAAAATTTAACTTAATTTTTCAATTATAGAATTTCATGGCATCTGAGAACATCCTTCCTTTGCCTTGGAAATGAACACTGAATCATAACTTGTGACTGGAGCTTGAGAATGCAGCAGTGCTAAGCATTTGAAGACTATGATCATTCTTCTGAAGAAATGTCATCTAACAGGACAGAGAAAACATGCAACTATGCAACAATGCAAACACATTTTACCATCTTATAAATGAGGTTATTTGTAAACTGGTGTTATAGAACTTTCGATAGATTTCGACATATAAGATTATAAATAATGGTTAAGTTCCCAGCTTCGGTCCCTATGAAGGCTCTATTGCAGTGGTCCCCAACCTTTTGGCACCAGGGACCAGTGCTCCTATGAGAATCTAATGCATGATGACCTGAAGTGGAGCTGAGGTGATGATGCTTGCGATGGGGAGAGGCTGCAAATACAGATGAAGCTTCGCTCAGCTCGCCTGCCGCTCACTTCCTGCTGTGCGGCCTGGTTCCTAAAAGGCCACGCAACCAGTACCAGTCTACGGCCCGGGAGTTAGGGATCCTTGCTCTACTGAATCTGTAATAAAGCTGAAGTCCAACACCATTATAATAGTGATATTTAAACAGATCAATTAGTTTACCCCTGGGTAAAGGTGCTCCTACTTTTAATTCCCTCCTGAAATCTCATTAAAATAACTAGAAAAAAAATGTTTTGAAAGAAAGGTGTAAACCCCAAAGAGGAAAAACACGTGCAAAAATAATACAACAAAACTAGGAAACTTGGAAACTGAAAGGCAAATAGTTTCTTAGCAAATCCAAGAAAAATAAATCCAGCAGCAGAGAAAGCCAAAAACCAACCCGATTTACCACTTTACCTTTGAAAGTGGGGACAAAGGGGGACTAAAATATGGAGGACTCAGCCCTGCCCTAATTTACAAAGCAGGGATAACTGCTCCTCCTTCACCCTATATAATATTGAAGGCTTTCTCTGATTACGATAAAACAAAAAGTCTCAGGCACATAAGGTTATTTGAAGGCCAGGGTACAGTATTGGAAAGAGAGAGCATTAAGTGAGTATGTTCTGAAAACCCTAGACTTCCTCTCCTGCTTGTTATATCACAGGCAGACAATTAGATCTTCAATCTCAAGGCAGGAGATGAAACAAATATTCTCTATAGAATATATCATTCCAAGAAGACAGTGCTAAATAACTGACATCAGAAGATCTCCAATACAAAAGCCAAGTCAGATCACCTGACAGTGACATTCATAGTCGAGGAGTCCAACTCAAAAATTCAGGGCTTCCAATCAGCTTTTTGTCCCCTACACTCTGGCAACAAAGGATTCATAGATATCTGAAGTAATGTCCAAATAGTAAAGATAGAAACCAAAGAAAATAAACAAAATAGCAAGTTGGAGGAAAGACACTATATGGGGAAACAAAAACTCAAAAGAACTATTATCCTTAAATAGATAAAACAGTGCAACTCTGAAAACAAAAACAGGACCCTTTACTTTTTTTTCAAAAGGAATATTCAGAGGAAAAAAATCTTAGAAATTAAAAACATTACAGCAGAAATGGAAAATTCAGTAGAAGTTTTGGAAGACAAAGTTGAGTCTTAGTCCATTCAGGCTGCTAACAAAAATATCATAAAGTGGGTGGCCTATGATCAATGAACTTTTTTCTTATGGTTCTGGATGCTGGAAAGTCCAAGATCAAGTTGCTAGCAGACTCAGTGTCTGGTGAAGGCCCACTTCCTAGACAACCAACTTTTTGTTGTAACCTCACATGGTGGCAGGAACTAGGGAGCTCTGCGGCATCTCTTTCATAGGA